TCTTGTGCTGTGGAAAGGGGCGAGGCTTGGAACCAGACGCTCCGCCTGTCGCTGCAACCAAGCGACGTAATGAACGCTCACGTGGTAATGTTCTTGTCGGATATGCCCAACCCGCCATTTGCTGTTGCTCATATGCCTCTGTGGGAGAGCCAAGCCTTTATTCGCGACGGGCCCCATGGACTCTTGCTCTATAAAATAGACGAGTTCACCTCTACTGCGCAGGCAGGCCCTTCGGGCAAAGGCGGATATCTCTCTACCCCCTGGGCACCACGAGGTAAAGATGGATCAGTCGAGGTCACTGGGCCGCTTGCTGTGATGCTGGTTGATACCTACCTCTGCAGCACAAAGTTTTCTCAAGACAGAGTTATCCTCGGGCTTCTCAAATGGAAAGATTTGCCAAAGGACGAAATCCCCGCGATTCTGAAACAAATTATCTTTGTCTCAGAGATTGAGGTCGTGAAGCTCCTCAGCGATGTGCTAGATGGGCTCTTTGGAATCCTTGTGGAGCACTCTGGGAATGATGAATATGAAGATTTGGTGTTTACGGCTATGGTTAGGGTACTTGGAATCGTACACGATCGGCGATTCAATCTTAGTCCCTTGGTTGACAATTACGTGGAAACTCAGTTCAACTATCCCTTTGCTACCCCTTGTCTGATACGGTCTTTCACTCGGCTACTCAAACGCCCCACGGAACCTGAGACAGCTCGCAAGTTGCGGGCGACTTTCAAAGTCGTGAGACACATTTTGAAATTCATCACGCAATCCCGAGGGCAGCAAAAGGTCAAGGAAGCGGGAATAGGGATCAAGTCCTCTACTCAGGGATTCACTAGGAGCCTTCGAAGCATTTTCAAAGCTCTTGATGCGATGATGCGAAACTCGGCACCGGCACTCGTTGGTAGCCAGACGTTGGCGGTGCAGCATTTCCACACATGGTTGCCAGAGCTGACGGGTCTCTTGACGACAGAAGAGATCCTGCACATTGCCATTGATTTCATGGACTCGTGCAAAGAGGTGAAGGGCAAGCTTATCATTTACAAGCTGTGCCTTATCATCAACTACTCTAAACTGGACATATTTGCTCATCCAGAGCAGAAATCAGCCCTGAGTGCCAACACTGTGCGATGGATCTCTCCTCACTGGGGTCATACTGAAGAGGTTAATGATCAGTGGCGAGAGCAAATTCGACTGTGTTGTTCTATCCTCGCCAGCCAGATTGACCATCTGGGTCCGGAAATCCCTGATCATATCCCTAATATTGTCGACTCTTATCTAGCCATTCTCGCCTCCCCGCAGAAGCCTAGAAACAAGCTCTCTCTTTTGTTTCCTTCATCATATCCCTTCCCTACTAAGCCAATAGCTGAAGAGATATCCTTTGACGAATCCCTAGCCGAACTGTCCGCAATTCTTTCTGCTCTGGCGAACTCTCCCTCGGGCATGCAGCTCGAGTTGGCTTCTGAGGACGACTTGACAACTCTTTTGGAGAATCTCCTCAAAGTGCAAATGAGTATCTTGACCGGCGAAGCGTTTCCAAATGGATGGCTAAGTGTGCTTATTTATCATCACAAGTCGACGATGAGAATCTTGCAGTACATGGCCAGTATTCTTCTGGAATCTTGTCTACCCGATCCTGATGAGGCAGAATCATTCAACACCGAGCTCTGGAAGTTGTTCTTCACAACGCTGCTGAAACTTGTGGGAAGCTCCTCGCTTGCTCTGGAGACGTTCCCCGAGCAGAAGAGAAGAGCAGTGTGGAAGATTGCCGGCGATGTGCGGGAACACGGAGCTGATCTTTTGCGAAGAATGTGGGAGGCTATCGGTTGGGAAACCACGTCAGAAGAGCATGATAAATACGGACTCAGCAATATCGGTGGATACCAAGTACAATACGTCCCAACTCTGGTTGGCCCTATTGTAGAGCTCTGTTTGAGTGTCCATGAAGGTCTCCGCAGAATGGCGGTTGAGGTTCTACAGACTATGATTGTGAGCGAGTGGACTTTGAGTGAGGACCTATCTGTGATTCAGACAGAACTCATTGATTCATTGGACACTTACTTCAAATCGAATCCTCTCACAGAAAGCATCCTCCAAAAACTGTTCGTCTCAGAGCTGCTCGAACGATTCCGGCCCCTTTCAGAGGTTGCGGAAGAGCCTCTCTACGCAGCTGTGCGTGAGCTTGTTGGCACTTTGGACGAGTTCCTCGATTTACTAGTTGCTGTGCACAGTGGTGGTGATGGTAGCGGTGAAGCATCCAACATCATAAACCGACTCCGACTCATGGAGTTCCTGCGCGACATGCAGAAGGAGGATATCTTCATTCGCTATGTCCATCAGCTGGCGAAGTTGCAGGCCGAGTCTAGGAATCACACAGAGGCTGGTCTGGCGCTCCGCCTCCATGCGGATCTCTATGAATGGGACCCGATTGGGCATGTTCCGGCGTTGACTGATCCCCAGTTTCCAGCGCAGTCCCCATTTGAGCGTAAAGAGAGGATCTATTTCGAGATGATCAAGCATTTCGAGGACGGAGAATCGTGGAGCAACGCCCTGACTGCGTATAAGGAGCTCCAGGTTCAGTACGAAACCAACGTGTACGATTTTGCCAAGCTCGCCAGAACTGGGAGGGCAATCGCAACGATATACGAGAGCATTTCAAAGAGCGAAAAGATTACGCCAAAGTACTACAGAGTGGTCTTCAAGGGACTTGGATTTCCTACTTCTGTGCGAGACAAGGAGTTTGTCTACGAAGGGTCTCCATCTGAACGCGCTTCTGCCTTTACAGACCGCATGCAAGAGCAATACCCATCGGCTCAGATCATCACCGGCGGTGACGTTGATGAGATGGAAGGCCAGTTTTTGGTTGTTTCGGCTCTTACGCCACACCGAGACCTCTCACATCAAGTATACCAAAGAGTTCGGGTGCCGCATATAGTCCGGGACTTTTTACTGTCCTCCCATCCTCAAGTCTTCTCCGTGACAACCAAGAGGAACACTTCTGGACCAGTGCAGGAGCATTGTGCTGAGAAATTAGTCTTCACGACTGCAGAGCCTTTCCCTACACTTCTACGCCGGAGCGAGATTCTCGAAACTCGCGAAGTCAGGCTCAGTGCCCAGGAGACCGCCTTGGAACGCATTTCTAGGAAGACGCAGGAGATGACTCTACTGGAACGCCGATTAGCTGACGGCGATGACTTGGTTGCTCAACAGCTAATCGAAGCTGTCAACATTTCTGTCAGTCCAGCATCTGAGAATAGCGTTGTGCAGTACCGTAAACTGCTCCCCGAACCATCGAGCGGAGAAGAGGGCTCGGATGGAGACGACGACGAGGAAGAGGATGACGAGGTTGAACTTGATCCTCAAGAAACCGCAATTAAGATGACTCTGGTAGATCATGCTATGATGCTCAAGAGATGCTTGACCCTCTTTTCTCGGAGCAAGAATGAAGCCATTTCCCGGAGATATTCGGAGCTTCAAGGCTGTAAGTAACACTCTTTACTCTTTACATGTGTATGACTTGCGTTGCAAAAGATAGACAACTGACACCAAGTTAGATTTTGAGGCAACCTTTGCACCAGAGATTGCTCTATTCGCGCCCCGGCAGCCAGTCCTACAGCCAGTCTCAACGCCGTCCCCTACTTGGAGAGGGTCAACACCCGGCGGCGAGAAGGGCCCACAGTGGACGAGCATTGCTGTTCCAGTGAACGGAGTGAAGGCTGAGGAGGCGACTGTCATTCGACAGATCACGCCTCGGCAACGCGGTGCCCGCCTGAGTTTCTTGGGAGGCCGAAAGAAAGAGCTAGACGGCAGCGAGGCTACTGATCAGGCCAACGGTAATCCAGGTGAGACGAAGGCACATGCACGCGGCCTCAGCAAGGACAACGCTCCCCATAACCTGTCCCAAACCCAGGGCATGGATAATGTCCATCAAGACACTCATAGAGAGAAGCGAGGCGGCTCAGTCGGCAGGGTGAGCTTGGATGCGCTCACCAAAGACCGACCGTCGATGGATGAGCCTGAGACAAAGAATAAGAAGAGCGTGAGGAAGAGGTTCAGCTTGCTCAAGCTTGGCATGAAGCATCACAAAGCTGGAACTGCAATGGGAAGCCTAGACGAGGAACAGTAAACCACGGGGTTTCTTCGCTGGATATTTATCATACAAATTACTCGCACATACACACACACATACAAACATACACGGATTACCGCCAACAACACGACGGTAACGACGGAGCTACATGAGTGAAGCTCGACGAATGCTGGAGGGCAGCGCCCATGCGACCAGCTTTCAATGTCTCGCTTTTCATTTAGAAGACAAGCAAACAAACGCAACATACAAACACGAATAAACATACACAAAGGCGGGTGGCAACCGTGACGGAATACATACAAGGGCTGTGCAGGATCTCTCTCTCTATATCTCTTTTTTTTTTTTCGGAACTGTTTATATCACCCCGGGGAGGAAAAGTACTCGGCTCGGGATATTGTCGATACCTCTCATCGTTGGCCACACTTGCTTGCTTTCTTTTTGCTTTGTTTTTTCAAATTTCAAAAAAGAAAGGCATCTGGATTTTTGCCGCAACTCTCTCACTGCCTGGCTGTATACACATACATCTCTTTGATTCCGCCCTCCGTCCTTGTTTTTTCCCTATATACCTCTTTTTTCTATTTCATGGCCGGGTTGTTCTGGATACCACTTTGGCCACACTGCGCATAGGCCGCCGCTTTTCCTTTCCTCAAAAATCTCGTGTTTCTTTTTTTTTTCTCGCTGTCTGTTTTTTCTGTCCTCTCATATATCTCGACACTGTTTCTTTTTTTTATTGCGAGAGCTTGGCTGCATTGATGAAGTGGCTTTGCTTGTTTTCTACATGTCTTTTGTGTGTTACTAGTTTCCTTTTTTCCTTTTTTTCCTTACTTTTGATGATATCTTGTCTGTATGTTGCTGTCGATAAACTCGCTCGTCTTTTTCTCTGTTACGTGTTTGTATCCGGTGAGAAGAGGGGCATATAAATGTTTTCCGCGAAAAAAGTGTAGACACTTCGCGTGTATTAAAATATAATTTCATCCTTTGTATCAGATTCGATTTGATATCTGCTAGAGTGCGTTGCGACCGTGAACCTTAATCCTGCCTACCTAGGGTAATTCTATATACAGATGATTCGCTAATATCATCCCAAATCGACCTTTTACACCAAATAAATAGCACGTAAGAGAAAGCAAAAGAACAACAAGAAGAAAACAGCCTCATCTAGGCCACTTAGACGTATTCGCAAGTGACCGTATCGTACCGCTGATCTACATGTCATGGTTAGCCAGCTATGTAAAGAGAGCAAGAAAGGGGAACCACATACTGTTGTATAAGAGCGTATACGTAGTCGAGGCGGAGAGATAGACAGCCTCGATCTTGCAGCTGAGTTCATAGTACATCTGCCCGTCTTTGCCCTGGCGACGGTTGAGCAGATGCTCGGGAATGTGGCTGACGTCGGCCTCAACGTGGGCCAGGACTTGCACATTGGCGTTCCTATCAATGGGGGCTTCTTCGGACGACTGGTCGCAGTAGATGGTCATGCGCATCTTACGGATACGGCCGTGTGCCACAAGGCCTGTCCAGACAAAGGACGTGATGTAAGGCTCGTTCTCGGAGACGGCATCGCCCTTTTTGCGTTTGCGTTAGCTCGCATCGCTGAAGGAGGAACAGGGGAATAGCATACCTTGCGAATGAACCACTCCATGGCATTTACCTTGTAATAGCCTTCCATGCCGCTCCAGCTCTTCTTGTCTGAAATATGGCCATGAACACGTTCGTCGTATTTGGTCCGCCACTCCGTACCGTAGTGCTTCCTTGCCTTGCGGTTCTGCACCTTGACCATGGTGAGAGTATCGGGTGCGCTGTTGGCAAGTCCCTTCATGACGGCGCCCTGTACGACGGCTTGCCAGGCATTTGGAGGCTGCATGATCTGGATGGACTTGTCGACTGCGTTTCTGAGGCGCTCCTTGAGATAATTGGAGGCACCGAAACCGCCGACCAGGAGCACGGCGCGGATTGGCACGTTGCTGACGGTGATCTGGTCCTTGACAAGCTTGATGACTTCTAAGACGACGGGTTCGAATATCGTATTCAAATCAGAAGCCTTGAGAGAATATCGCCCACGAGTGATTCCAAGGGCCTTGTTGTTGGATAGGCCACCGACTGGGATTGTATATGTCTCATCGGGCTGAGCGGCAAGGGTAAACTGACGCTTGACTTTCTTTTCGAATACCTCCATGGCCTCAGCGAGGACCTCCTCATCAAAGCCTTCTTCCTTGCCTAGCTTTGCCTTGAGAAACTTGGCAAAGCGCATGTTGAGGAAGGTTGAGCCACACAGGGCACCAGAGCCAGGAGCAGCCTCTTGGACCTGGAGAATGGGCTTCAGGCCAGTGATGGTGTAGGAAATGAGATCGACAGTGCCGCCACCTGCATCGACGACGACAACGGTGTCGCCAATCTTGAGGCCGTGGGGGTCCAATCCATGCAGGGCATAGATGGCTGCGGCTTCGGGTTCGGAGACGAGATGGATGAGAGTTTTGGACGAGCCAGGCGCCAATGGCAGGGACTGAACGGCCCTTTGGCAGGCTCTCTTGGTCTTGTCCTTGGCGAGATCGCTCCAAATAGCTGGTACGGTGATGATGAATTCCAGAGGGGTGCTTTTGACGACGCTCTCACCAAGCTTCTCACGCAGAGTATAAAGGAGATGCTCGGTAAGGGCAGTCAGATAATCAGTGACAAGCTTATCAGCATCTCTGCCTCCGCGAGCACCATCACTGGCCACGGCCTGACCAATATTTTTCAAGGATGGATCCAAGTCGCTATTGGCATAATGTCAGCTCACGGCTCATACGAAGGAATAGAAGTGGATTTGAGAATGGCGATGGTGACAACTTACAGCTTGAACCACTCAATAACCTCTTCTTGAGGAGCGGTAATGGGGATGGAAAACCCCCATTGAACTTCGTCTTTGGCATAGCGAAGCTTGGTAGGCACCTTGTCCGAAGACTCACCCTCGCGGGTCGTCTTGTTGATGGGCCAAGTGGTGATTGCCGTCCGCCTGTCCGGCCGCTGGGTCTCTGCCCACGCGACACCAGAGTAGGTGGTGCCAAAATCAATGCCCACGATGATCTTGCGATCAGTGATGGAGAGCTTATCAAAATCCATGTTGAGAGCGCTAGACAGGGAACGGATGAGTGGGCGGAGAAGTAGAAGAAGTAGAAAGGAACAGGTCCTGAGGAGGATGTGGCCGAAGAGGATGTGGCCGAAGAGGAGAGTTCAAAGAAGGAGCTTGGCTTGCGGTTGTCTATATCTATATGTGCCCTGTCAGGCCGAGCTAGCAGGCGATTGGAGAGCCAAGGCGTTTACCAACGACAAATGGCAGAAGATAAACGGCCAAGGACTCGTAGGCTTCGTGGCACACAAGGAACAAAGAATGCAGCATATAAGTGAATTGGAGGAAACAGAAGGAATACGTTCCCAGGACAGGCTTCTTCAGAGGTGCAGCTGACCACTTGTCGCAGCCGCGGAGAGTCACAAAGAGGCAATGATTGTATGTCGATGCATGCCAGAGTTAAGCGCTCAACTGCTTCACCTCAGCAATATATGATGCAGGTTGATAGATAGCAAACGGCAGCCCACGCCCAAACACCTACAGAAGCCCGAGCGCGTGCTGCCTTGAGCCTCCAGACGGCATTCAGCTGGGTGGGGCTGATGCCTGGCAGGTCTCGTCATTGTCGCTGGTCGGTAGCAGTACTTGGACTCTGCAGGGCGTCGACACATGTACCAATACCAATACAGTTGAGCAGAAAGTGAGGCGGAAATCTGCCTTGTTTCGAAGCACAGAGTTTGGTGGTGAGGGGAAGATACCAGACGATGGATTCAAGGGAGATGGGGGGCGTGCTTCTAGAAGAGCGGGGGGTTACAGTGGTCGTTGGCGGTCGGATGGCGCCGCCCAGCGTGGCCGTTCACTGGACGAGCGCTGCAGGGCCTCCGGAGTAGCGCCTGCAGCGGCTGGCGTGGAGGGATTTAGTGGATTGAGCTCGAGCTCTAACTGGAGCTTGAGCTCCAACTACCTTCTGGGTACTTGGACTACTCGTGCTCCATAAATTCCGTCAATATTGGCCGTGCCGGTTTAAGATCAGTCAATGGGCACAACGACTGCTTTTGGACACCGCTGAGTCGTATGGATGGGGGCTGCAAAGTGGACTGAATACACGATGGACGCGGTGATGGAGCTGGAAGTTGTCTGACTGGCGGTAGCAAGTCTTTTACGGCTGAAATACGAAACATTGAGCACATTTGCTGCGTCTCGAGATTGACGGCGTGATCTTGATAAGGCCCTGTGGCACAATGTGGCTGGTACAGTGCACATTCAGGCACGGCCTGTTCTACTATATTAAATTGACTTTCAACTTCATCGTGTTACTGACACGCGTGTGCTGCCGACAGTGGGTTACCAGTTTGGAAAATCGCCGAAGCCTCAAAGCTTCATTCTTTGACAGATCTAAGAACGGGAATACGGGGTAATCTCGGCCGCCGGTGTCCCTAAATAGAAAAAAGAAGAACTTAACTCTAAGCCATCTGCTATTGCGTTGTTCTTGGTACTCCGTACACATTTCAGAGTTTCTCGGCGGAATAGAGATATAGCCAAAAGTTGGCTGTCATTGATGCTTACATATAACACAAATCGGAAAGACTCGGCTATATGAATGGGCGAGCACGTGGTGGCCAGGGACATTTCAGCTATGAGTCAAGCGGCCAATCCCTTTGAGTGCGAGAAGGTGCGGGCGAAGTACTCATGTCCACTTTTCTTATTAATCGGGGAGAAATACTCAAAATCTGGCTGCTTGATTGGTCACAGCTGAAAAGATACTTCGCCCGCACCTTCTCGCACTCAAAGGGATATGAAATGGAGGAATGTCACTGTGCAAGGCGCTAGAGCTCGTATGAAATTAGCACACGTACCTACAGACAACGGTGACAGAGTTTGAAGCAAATTGTGATGAAACTCTGAATCAACACGATCCCCTCCCCTCTCGAAATGGGCGTATCAAGTTGGGAATATACCATTAACCGGTACGGCCAGCGTGCTGTCGAGCTCCTCGCGGCCGAATGGCACCTCGGTTTCACCGCGTTTGGCGGTCCGCCGGTTCATTTTAAGATTGTTCGAAACCCTAATATTAGAGAGTTGGCGTGAGCTCAACTAACGCGAATCCAGTGGCATGACAAGTTTGTTAGCAAATTGAAGTGGATTGATGAGCAATTGGTTTGTTCATGCTCTGTTCCGCTAGGAGTTAACCACCAGGCTCATCCAATTGTCCAATTCTAGTATCAAGAGCTCTTTGGCATTGCTCAGGCACTATGCGGACCGGGAAGCACCAAGATGCTATACTGCATCAACTTGATCCATGATGGATTCTTCGGTGCAGTCCTCGGCTTTCTCATATGGAGGTAAGAACGCACGAGTCAATTGGTAGCAAACCATGCAACTCACCTTGATAGTCTCCCCGGAGCGCTGGGTATGTTTGGTCTTGCCATCGGTGTTTCCAACATCGGATCGGCTCTTCCCCGTGCTGTTTATGCCCTCTTATCAGGACTTAATGCGGCTACTGTCGGCATCATTGCACTGGCAGCTGTGCAGCTTTCAAAGAGCACCGTCACGGATAATCTCACTAGAGCTTTGGTGTTTCTCAGCGGTGCTGCTGGCATGCTGTACAACGCCCTTTGGTATTTCCCCTTGCTCATGTTTCTCAGCGGTGTCGCTGCAGTTGTGCATGACTACCGCTGGCTGCATAAGCCTATCAAGGCGATGGTGGCCTTGCTAAGCTGGAGGAAGAGAAGCACAACTGCTATCGAAGAGGGTATTGCGAGTCCAAGAACAGGAGTAGAGCTTAATACCCTCAAAGGCAAGGAGCCTGTGCAAGCTATGCAGAGTTCATCTTCAGCCGGGCCTTCATCGGGAGCCGCCATCTCGGGCCATGTTCAACATGAGGATCGGCTGAGCGAACGAAGGCTCTCTGGGGCTGAATCTGAGCCTAGGGTCATCCCGCAAGAATATCGCTTGAATTTTTCTTGGAAGGTCGGGACCGCCATTATAGCAGCCTTTGTTGCGACCTTTATTGCTACTATGGTCTTGCGGAGCGTTTTAAACAGCCCTCCTCTCTTGTTCAGCTTGTTTGCCAACCTGTATCTTGCAGGTACAATCATCTTTGGCGGTGGACCAGTTGTCATCCCGTTACTCAGAGAATACGTCGTTGCCGAAGGGTGGGTCAGCCCGCGAGACTTTCTGATCGGACTTGCACTTGCTCAGGCGTTTCCGGGTCCCAACTTCAACTTTGCTGTATTTCTGGGAACTCTGGCTGCCTCCAATAGTGGCAGCTCGTCGATTGCCGGAGCGATCATCGCCTTTGTTGGCATCTTTTTCCCGGGTATCGCCCTCGTCCACGGCACAATGGGCGTTTGGAGCTCGCTGCGGAATAGACGATGGGTCAAGTCCGGGTTGAGGGGTGTGAATGCCGGCGCTGTTGGGCTGATTTATACAGCCGTCTATCGAATCTGGCAGGTTGGGTATCTTGATGAAGGGTTCCAGTCTGGACGAAGCCTGGGTGACGATCCATGGTGGGTTGTGGTTACAGCCACGGCATATGTTGGGGGCAGATATTATGGAGTTTCAGCGCCTGCAGCCATCGTTCTGGGAGCCATCATGGGGCTGATTCGATATGGCGTCGTATCTGGCCGAGGCTGATGTTGTTGCAAAATGTACAATGCGTTGGAGCTTGATGCCTGCCTGTCAAGCCTGTATACCTACCTATACGGTGTACTGAACCGACTTTGACGCACTGTATTAGCCACAGATGGCGGCACACGCCAGGTACATGTACGCCATGGCGTTGCTAGCAACCACTCACATGTAAAGTAAACACCTTGATTGAGTTCTGTTGAGTACTCTAATTAGGAAGTCTTTGCTTATTCCCTAAATCTTAAATCAAGTCATCAAGCGCCAACATTGTTTTTAAAACGGCCCGGCTCACTGAAAACGAACTTGTGCAGACTGGTCGCAGGTACACAGAGCAACAGCGCATGTACGAATACCTCAAAACTCATCTGAGTGAAGCCGGGACAATATCGGCCTCCCGCGTCCGATACGGGCCGCGGATGGGCTCCATGTCCCCTCTTTCTTCCACGGCGAGCTACTGTGAGGCTGAATTCCACTAGTCACTTCTCGCCCTGCATCCTGGGATCATGGATCATGAAGGAGGGGGCGTGCAAGTTGAGCGATATTGATTGAATGGTGCTGTGCTGTGCTGTGCTGCGCTGTAGCAGCTGGCAGGCATTCCAGTTAGCATGTATGTACGAGTACCAGGCATACTGGTGACATGCGCCATGGAGGGGAAGATAGACGGCCCTGGCTCTGGCTGCCTTGCTTCATTCAGCCCGGGGCTGTGAAGCGTGCGGTAGAATCACTGGATAGTGAGCTGCAAGCGCCACCATCAAGGGCAGGCCAGAGGGAAGATCTAGCATTGGATCTTGAGCTCTAGAAATACTACTTTTTTGTTTGTTTGTTTTTGCATCTGAATGCCCTTTGTCTCTGCCAGAGTTAGACGCTGCCGATTTCATCCCATCTTTCTTTAATGCATTCCTAGATAGCGTGCATTACACCTCACTGCATCGCACGGGCCGCCATGTCTCCCGACAAAGGACAAGGAACAATCCCTCTCGACGACATGCGAAGCCGAGCATCTAATGGCCATGCGGTCCTCCGCAAGGAGAGAAAACCGACCAAATCTGGCGACAAGGACGAGGTTGAAGAGAAGAACAAGGACGGCAAGAAAGAGATGGACCAGAATGACGACAAATCCAGGAGCAGCCAGGAACAGCAAGACGACGCACCTGTTGAAGTAGACCTCCTTGACTTTTCAGACGAAATCACTGAGCCTATCGACCCAGAGCTTGTACCTGCCAGGAAGTACACCCTGAGCGTGCCAGCTCCTTTTCTCGATGACACCAACTCTGACGACGGCTTTGACTTGACCAATATTCCCGGCTCAATATATGCATCAGCAGAGAGCTTTGACAGTATGGAGAGTGAAAGCTTCACACCGCGGCGACGCCTCTCCATCGGACAGCGCGACGAGCTCCGAGACCAGGCCCAGCTCAGGCAGCTCCAAGACTCCATCGCCAGACTGACGGCCGAGAAAGAGAGCGCCGAAAGAGAAGCTGGCAGGGCGATGCAGCAGATACAAGATTTGAAACATTTGCTCAACTCTGACATGGAGGAGATTGCCAAGGACGCGGACTCCCTTGGCCAAGAGCTGAGCAGGCTCAAGGAGGAGAATCGCCTATTGCGAGAGGAATTAAACGATGCGCAGTCGCACATCTTTAGTCTCCAGCCGTATCGCAAGGACCTTACGCCAGAGGAAGTAGGACGGGTAAGTGGTTGATTGATACAACAACAAGCCCTGTCAACACCCTCCCCCCTTTTACTTTGATAGCTGCTAACGTAATTTGTCTCTGTCTATAGCAATACGACGACCTCATTGAACAAGTCCAAGATTGGGTTCAGAAATTCATGGAACCCTGGTTGGATGACTACGAAGCAGGAATCGAGGCTCTTGCCACCAGCGTTAGGAAGCAGTCTGGAGAAGCGTCCAAGTTTAAGAAAGCTCTGCACAAGCATCCAGATTTAGTCCACGCCTGCCTGTTTCCCGAGACGGATGAAGACATCATTGCTGGCATTATTATGCGATTTCTCAACGATCACATCTTCCAAAAGGTCCTTTACGGCTCTGCACAGAACTACACCGAGATGGTGAGCTTTATCGAGACGCAGATGCAGACTTCGGTCGAGCCAAAGAGAGGTGAGGCGCTTGCGAATTCCCGAGACACAGAGACGGACCCAAGCTAACAATGATGGCCTTGAAAACAGACTTGTTTGCAGTTCGCACATGGACTGCCGAAAGCTACAGCGCCCTGATGAGCGCGCCGCAGTTTAAATCGGTGCGCACGCGGCGCAGCAGGGACCTGACACTGGATCTTGCAGATATCCTTCGCATCTTTTGCAAAAAAGACAAGTTCCAGTGGTTTTGTCAGAATATGGAGGAGAACTGCGTCAAGCCCGCCATGGCGCTCTACGAAAAGATCCAGGTATCTACGCACCACTTCTATCTCGACATCCAGCCGTACATCTCGTGGAGCGGCTCTCGGTTTGCCCTCTCGCCAGAGTTTGTCGAAAACGTTGACAAGCTTGACTGCCGAAACATTCTACAGAGCAGGAAGGCCTTCAACATGGCCAAGCTTGATCCTCGACCTTCAAAGAAGGATCTCTACCTGGATCTATTCAACGTTTGCACCGTTGTCCCAGCTCTGTACATCCGCCAGATTGGGCAGCGTGATGCCATCAAGGCCCCGTCGATCGTACGCAAGCAGCAGATGCTGGTGGCCTGGGGCCCTGAGGACAAGAGAGACAAGTTTGTAGAAGACGGCGACCCGTCACTTGTCGCTTACCTCTGCTTCCCAAAGTCACGGAAGAAAGGAGAAGGGTGGCTGGGTTGACTATCTAGTACCTACGAGTACTATCTACTGGGTGGTAGCAGTAGCACGAGCACAAGCGAGTAGCTCTATCGTATGTGAGTACAACAGGGATTTGCGGTTTGGTTCTATGGGATTGGAGAACTCGAGCCACATGCATAATGTGAAACCACGCATCATGTATGGGGGAGCATGAGAGTGGGCGTTTACAAGGCTTTCGGACTCTCTCTTTATTTTTGGCTACATTACATGCACATGCTAGTTTATACTTGATTTGCCGCATGTCTTGCATCTGGCAGTTTATTGATAGGATGATAGCAGAGCCACGTATGTGATCTGTTCTGGATATAGTAGATTGTCCCTCATCCCATCCGACTTCGTTTCACCACGCAGTCATCGTGCTTGCAGCTTGGCTCGTACTCGTGCAGGCAGGGCCACGTTGAATGGCGTTAGCTTTTCCCCTCGCGCAAATCATATGATTGCCGACCGCGCTGCGATGTCTTTACCGATGGTCGGACGGGCTGCTTCTCCTCCTCCTCTTCTTGCTTTGGGGGTGTGAGAAGTGACAAAGTGCTCAACTTGTATGCACACGCCTTGACCCTTGTAAGGCACACTCCTCTCCTCAGCCAAGTACTGTACATGTACACGACATGACCTCAGTCCGAAAGCTTATGGACTGCACTAGCCGCTAGCGCACTTACAGCGTGCTGTAGGCTGAATGCTCCTGCTGGCAGCCTGCTACAGCGCTATGACAACCGCTAGACCGAAGCTCTGGGGCTCGTCTGCCTCCGCTGTCCATCGCGAGGCGGCTGCCAACCTCAGCTTTGCTCCCGTACAGCAAGAGGTACCTGTGTCTCCTGCAACCAGCCTTTGTTCCCTTCTTTTTCCCTCTTCAACGTAAAGTTATACTTCTTTAACCATCTTCCACTTTGATCATTGCATCATTAACCACATCTCACACCAAATCGATTCTGCGTTATCGTTGGCCTAGTCACACACAAAATTGCATCGCGCCCATCACCCCTCCCCTGCATATGTCCGCGGTATAAGTAGAAGCTGGACCAGGGGGTGGCCGCAATCACACTCACACCTTCGCGACAAGCATGTTACGGTCCATCAAGAGAAAGACTGAGGCTGCTCTTCGCAGACGAAAGACCAACAAGTCCATCAACCAAATAACCCCCGTCGACGTTGACTGGCCCATTCAGAGCGATTCATATCCGCCGTCAACTTCCACGGAAGATCGCACCGCGACTAATACAACCGAGCCGGAAGAGGAACTGACGCCTGCTGATCAAGCGCTGCAGTTTCGGTTCAAACAAGACGATACGAGTGTTCTCCATACACCTGCGCTTGAAGAAGTGCCTGCAGAGGATCCCGTGGACGAGGTTGATGTTGCGGAACAGCCTGGGCTAGGCTCATATACAACCAAATACGTTCCGTTTGTAGAAACGTCAGCAATGAGGAGCAACATGTTTGTTCATTCTGCCAATTCGCACTACGGCATGGTGAACCCTGCCATCATGGGCGGCTTTGGAGACGATGACGACGATTCCATATGGCTGGTGGATGACGAGGAGACTGAGGAAGAAAATGAAGAGGTAACAACGACAGTCAAGAGAGGAGAGAACGAGGAGGAAGACGATGTAGAAGAGGAGGAGCTCGAAGAAGAGGAAGAGGAAGATGAGCCAGCTGTCGCTTTACCACCAACGAATCAGCCTCCCCCAGTATCAACTGTACCTGAACCAGCTTCAACGGCCAGCCCGGACACCGGATTCAGATATCGCATTAATCTTGCCTTGTTTGACGATGCCGAGTTTGCAGCCCCGCCAAAAGAGACAGTCACGGTTTTTGTGGATGAGGACGAAAACGAGGACGAGGACGACATTCTGCATCTACCGTCGCCTAGCATCGATTCAGCGGAGCTTTTGAGAGCTGTAAACGCATTCCGACGCCCGGGCAGTAGCCAAGACGAGATTGCTGCGTCCAATGGCTCCTCTACTCCTGCCACAAGCAACCCGTACGTCGATCTTCTTGAGCAGCAAGACTCGGCCATGACGGTGGCATATCAGCGCCGTCTGGACCTGTCTGGTAGACGTGGAGATGATGAAGCTGATGATTTCAGGTAGGCTTCCCGATATTCTGCCCCTTTCGACTCCCCGCATGCCTGGTTCTTTTTGTATCACAGATGAATAGAATAGCGGATGGGCTTTCCTGCCGACGGCTTTGGTTGGCTTGTATTATTCGTTGTTTCTTTTTTTTGTTTGGGCTCTTACACAACTGCCTCCTTCGTATGACGTTTCAATCACTGGCGTGGTTTAGTTTTCACGGATCTGTTTTTGTTGGGATATTTTACTTAAATATGGTTTGAATTAGTTTCGGACAACGATATCAAAGAGACCCCGGGACAGCTACTGTCCTAGTTACGCACCAGCGTGTACCGTCGGATCATGACAGCGGTGATCGCGATTGCTCAATATGTACTGATACCAAGGAAGACATTCTCTTCCCCCGGTTTTCCCCAACAGCGTCTTGCCTGCATCCCCCAACGGCATGTCTCGAGTGCTTGGAGAGGTCTATCCGGTCTGATCTGACAAGCAAGATCTGGACAGATATCAGATGTCCTGAGTGCCGTGAATTTTTAGACTATACAGACATCCAGCGCTACGCTGATGAAGAGACATTCAAAAGGTGCATACTCCAATGTCATTTACTCCCCCCCTTTTGACAATCAAGTACACATCACCTGACGCGTGTGGTTAGATACGAGACGCTCGCTCTCCGGGCTGCTATGGCTGAAGCTGAGAATTTCTTTTGGTGCACATCTGGCTGTGGTTCTGGTCAGATACATGAGTCTGGCCAAGATCAACCCATAGTAATATGCCTTCACTGCACCCATCGATCCTGTTTTCATCACAATGTCGCATGGCACCAGGGATTGACATGCGACGAGTATGATCAGCTACTTGCTGACCCAGACAATTTCCGCTCCAAGCTTGAAATCGATAACGAAGCATGGGCTGCTGCGCAGGAGGCACAGCTCGAAGCCGACAGAGCCATGGCACAGGGCTTGCTGGAAGAAGAGAGGAGGGTTAGAGAGATGAGAGAAATGAGAGAACGTGAAGAGAGGGAGAGGACGAGGAAAGCCATAGAGCTAGCGAGGCAAATCGCGGCGAGGAGGAAGGCTGAAGAAGACATGAGCAGGGAAACCGTCGGGAGAACAACAAAACCTTGCCCTGGGTGCGGATGGGCAATTGAAAAGAACGACGGATGGTATGTTGCTACTGATTCTACGCTTTCATGTTTGTCACTGAGAAAGAGAGATTGCTAACGGTTTTCTTAGTTCGCATATGACTTGTAAGTGGTACCCTTTGCTTTTCTCATTCATTTCCTTGACTTTCACTCGTTTTATTCTGCTCCAATTCCTATGGTGGGTACTTACAATACACACTCTCTTTATGTATCAAGCCTCTCTTTGAGGCTCAATCCCCCTCCCAACTTACTACAACAAAACATCGCCGGGAAATCGCTAAACAAAGAGTGCAACAGGTATCAAATGCCGCCACGAGTTCTGCTGGGGCTGCGGCAACATTTGGAACGACAGCCATAACATCTACTGCACAGGATAAAATAGCTTCGGTATACGCCGGTATTTTAAACTGACCCGTGTTTGTTTTTTTTCCTATAGGCGTCAAGTGCAAGCACCAGTTTTGCTACGAGTGCGGTGCGGACCATAAGCAAATTCTTGAGAAGGACAATACTGTTCATAAGGAGGACTGTAAATTTCACCCGAGCCAGTTAGGAGATTTAGAGGAGTCGGAGGTGAGGGACAATGACGACGACGATGGTGATGATACTGAGGAGGGCGATTTTGACGAGGGAGATTTTGAAGATGAAGAGGATGAAGAAGAGGAAGTGATCGTTATCAGGGGTAATATTAGGCGTTTTAAATAACTTGGGTTATACCGATGGAATTTGTATATATCATATTCCCCCCACAAAGCTTATACGCCAAGTTACTTGATTGGTATCGAAAGAGATTCAAGGCTTGGCTAGAAATATAATAAATTTGCGTAATCAAAAGAAAACTGGCATCAATCGATGTCGACACCTCGAAAATGCGCTCCTCAGACAAGACCCTAGTCATACACACATCTCACGTATATAGTATATAGCAAATAGCAAACACCCCACCCCTTCAGATAACCTATATTGTTGACGCAAAAAAATCAGATTCAAAGAGTAGTCAGCTCCTCCAGCCTCCTCTCCAGCTCAGGCACCTGTCTCAATTTCATCTCCAGCTCCTCCCTCTCGTCCTCCAGTCTCAGCCGTCTCTCGGCATCGAGCTTCGTAAAGACATAGTTTCCCTGCCCGTCAAATTGCAGGATATGCGTGTGGTATTTCCACAAACTGCGACGATGACTGACCGTCAAGAGCGTAATGTTGAGAGATTTGGCGTTTTCATACATGACCTTTTCGGTTTCAAGGGTCACGCTGCTTGTGCACTCGTCAAGGATAGCGTATTGCGGCCGGTGGTAAAACAGGCGCGCCATGGCAACACGCTGTTGGAGGCCGCCAGAAAGGACATCGCGCCATTCGGCTTCGGCATCCCAGCCTTCAGGATAGAGCTCAACAAGATGTTCCAGGCCAAGGGTGGTGAGGATCGAGAGAAGGTCGGAGTCGTTGACGCCCTTTGAGCGCATCTGACGCAGAGAGTCGGGGTAGATAATTTGCTGGCGAAGGGAGCCGCGGGACAGGTATGGGCGTTGAGGGAGGTAGAAGATGGAGGTGAAGGGGGGCTTGTAGACGGTTCCTCCGTAGACGGGCCAAAGACCTCCGAGAATGCGGAACAGGGATGATTTGCCGCAGCCGTTGGGACCAACGACGAGGAGATGGTCGCCGTGTGAGAGGGAGAAGGAGAGCGCTTTGACGAGAACGTCGCCATTGGGTGAGATGATGGGTCTGTAATGAATCTGTTAGCGTTCAGGTATTTAAAAAGATGATGGGGGGCCATAAGTCTTACACATCCTCGAATTTGATGTAGTCTTTGCTTTCGTGGACAGTACCGCGGCCTTTGAGAACTGCCTCATTGTCCTCTGTACCAGAAGAAGAAACGAGCTTCTTCTCAAAGTGGCCCATCTGGATGTCATCCATGACGTTGAGCAAGGTAGCAACTCGGGAAGTATATCCAGCCAACTCCATGATTTCTCTGTAAGAGAACATGATTCTGCCAAAGGCGTCAGATGCAGAGAGAAGCATTCGGCGATTTGTCACAAAGGCCTCGGTCCTATCTCCCATGTTCATGACGAGCTGCCCGGGAAGCTTAACAAAGACGGGGACACTGCAAAGTAGCAGGCCCAGAGCGCCCCAAAAATATTTGATGACGAAATCTTCCATGAAGCCGTGGTAGAAGCGTCGTCGAAGGATGTAGTTTACATGCTTGATGAGCGTAAAGTAACCCTTATCCAAAGTATCCTTCTCGGCGATATGGCCGCCATAGAGGGCGATTTCTTCGCTGTAGTCGATCAAGCGGGAGTGCTGGAATCGGAATTCTCCCTCCAGGCGGGCCTCGTCGGCGACGTATTTTCCAAAGGGTGGCGTCAAGACACGCATCAGGTTTGCCGAGAGCTGAACTAATAAGGACATGAAAATGACGCCTTCGCTTCCAACGCTTTTAGATAATGCATATGTGTAAATGGTCTGGCGGAGGAATATAGTTAGTCGTTTCGGATGTTCGCTTCTTTAAATCAGGGTGAAAGAGAGAGACGAGGATAACAAACCATATCGAGTGCTGGCTTGGCAAGGTTGCTATACAGCTCTGCCAGACTGTTGGAGAACTTTGATACATCGACAGCGATAAGCTGGTCTGGATTCTTTATACGATCATCAAGTGCCGAGATGCCGTAAAAGGTCAATTTGGACAAGTATTTGTCGTGGATGTGTTGTGTCAGCCTCGTTCGATATTGCAGAGACAGCTCAGCTTGGTGGTAGGAAAGCTGCACAAGTAGCTGAGTTAGCATTGCCTCTTGGGTAGAAGAATGGATTTTCTTACCATGGAGTTTGTAAATGTGGCGGGCACGGCAATTAGCATCCACCAGACGATACGCTTCAAGAATTCCTTGCCATTGCCTTTGACCAGGGCCTTGACAATGGCGCCGTCCATCTCGGCCACACGAACGCTAATCAAGGTCCTCAGAACCAAGAAGAAGCTGTGACTAGCCAACATCCTAGCCTCTTTACTCTTCCAGCCAGGTACCACGATCTTGCTCAGGCGCATCAGGGACCTAAAGAACTCGCGATTTAAGGCAACCTTCTTTCTGGGTGTTTCCTCAGAGCCGGCAGTGACAGTGCCCTGGCGAGCGGCCCGCTGAGCGGCCTCACGCGCAGAGGCGGCCTTTTGCTCCGAGATTGCATGGCGAATGCGGTTGGCGAGAGCGACGAAGAGGGAGATCCAGATGGCACGCGAGATGCGCGTTCGGTGCTTGACGTACAAGCGAGTGAGGTTGTTGATGATGCCGCGAATGGTGCGGTCCTTGGACAGGGCGAGTTTCGACTGCCAGGCCATGGCTTCAAGTGCTGCCTTTGCCTCTGCCTCTGTTCTCTTCAATGCCTGGCTAGGGGAAGCTCGTGCCCAGCTCGTCACCTATCGTCGATGGCACGGCGCATTGGTTGGCCTCGAATCGCCGCGGCTGGACTCGGTTATCGCGGGCGAGAGCTCACGGCGATTGAGCTGCGGTCGCTGTACGGAGGAGACGGCAGCTGGATTGAATCTAATATGATGTACGCTGTGAGGATGTTTTTGGGTGTTTGCAGTTGTTTCTTCCACCAGAGCAGCTGCTGGCTGGTGGTGATGTCGGATGGTGATGACATCAAAATACCAATGGCAGAGCTGCTGGAAATAACGATAAGGCCTGAGAGTGGAGATGCGTCCACTGGCCTCGGCCTGGCATGAGCATGCGGCGCGGCTTCCCCAGACTCCAGTGCCACAGCCTCCAGGGAAAGCCCCGGCATGTGATTGTTAGCATCAGCCACAAGAGAGATGACAGCACCAGCCACGCTCGTGGGGTTTGTAACTTTTTTTTTTCTTTTTCGTTTTCTGCCGGCTTTATCGCGGGGTGGCGAGTGCTTGTGATGACTTGCGCTTTCCTTTCCTTCATAAACCAACAACACAACAACACAATACCTCGTTCCGTGTGACTTGTGTCTCCAGAAAATACCACAAAGATGTCTGACGACGGGCTCTCAATATACGATGAGATTGAAATCGAAGATATGACCTTCGACGAGGTTCTTCAAACATACTTCTACCCGTGTCCCTGCGGCGATCGTTTCCAGATCGCTCTCGATGACCTGCGCGACGAGCAGGATATTGCCGTGTGCCCCAGTTGTAGCTTGATGATTAGAGTTATTTTCGACCTTGTGGGATATTCCAAGGCCTTTCTGAAGAAGAGCGCCCCGCTAACGTAGCATCAGGACGACTTACCCAAACCTCCTCCTACTGGCAACACTGGTGGCCAGATACCCGTCGCTGCTTAAAGCCATCGTTATATTTAAGCTTCCCTGGGCGAATACTTGATTTATTCGGCAAATACATCGAGATACTGCACTGATTAGGCCCGCATAGCGTCCACAGTGCCTCAACGGCCGTTCTGAAGAGGCTTCTCAGATTGATCCGTCTAAAATCGGATGTATTAATAGACGCCGACGAGAAGACGACGATGTACCAGCGACAGACGAAAGTCATCCCAAGCATCCATGCTACTGATGCAAAAATATGCGTGCCTTGGGAGTAGCACTCTCTAGGGCAAAGATTCAGTCACTTAAAGAGACAGGCTTCGGGAATACCATGAAGAATTCAAGCTCGTGTGGGGGACAGTTGATGAAAAGACACTGCCGAGGCGTTGGTAATAGAGAATGGATCTATTAGGACGGCCATCTCACTCAAATGCCGCCAACATAACAAACCAAGATACCAAGGGTGTATTACATATTCACCTAAATTCCATGAATGCAAACTACAACTCATGACAACATACTGACCCATATCAATCACTCGAATCATCGCGAATCAAGAGTCTCTCAGCAGAGCTGATGTCTGGCTCGGTGTTGCATATTCATGCGTGAAATTGTTGATTACAATTATTCTATTATCAGTTATAAACTCCTGTCCAGTTGAAGGAGGGTGGACTCGATGGTCCGTGGTATCTTGTTGGTTTTCTTAAACGCCCGTGTCCTACCTGGGACACATTCTATACGTGGCGCGCACATCGTCCAGCGTCATTATTCATAACAGCCTTTCTTGCCTCCGTCTATAACATGATCAAACCCATGATGCAGAACCCTATTAGCCCAGCCATGGAGCTCTGCATCTGCTGCGGAATAGCACCACCAGTTACGTGGCTGGTGGGCGTCGTGGTATTCTGTGACTTTGTAGGAGCTACGCTGCTAGCCAACGTCGCTTTATCAATGTTAGCAAGACGAATTCCAGCCCGAGGAAATGGTGGTATCTTACATGTCGCATTTGGAAAGTTCAAAGGCCGTGTGACACCGATGGTAGAAGCAGAAGCATCGGAAGAGCTGGCCTCAGTCGTTGCCGCATCAGCATCCGTCCGTGATGCCTGTGTTACGGATGCTGAAACAACGGGGATAGTGGCATCCTCCGCACTCGAAAGCCCGCTCTCAGTCCCAATGGAGATGTGCTGTGCTGTTGATGTGTCGAGGACAGTTGCAACGCTGTTTGCCGCTGCGGTTGCTGCAGCGATGGCAAGGACGAACAACTTGGCTGTATGCATTGCTGTTGGATGCTTTTTTGGGAATCGAGAAGCCGAATCTTGGCGACAGATGTATACAAGATTGCGGAGAATTCTACTCCGTACTTGTGATAGCTGTGGGTATGCGAAAGACAGCACCAGGCTGAGGGCAAAGAAAAGCAAGGGCGACGACTATAACGCCAA